GTTACATTTCTGAGCTAAATACCTTTATTACCATCTCAGTTTGCAACAGGCATTGCTAAGGATATTTGTATAACAAATATTTCATTTGCATGTGTATAATTATGTTTTTTCATCCTTACAACTTTTGTTTCTGGTGTAATCTATATTGCATGCATTGCACTCTCCCTTTAGTAAATAAATCAGCAACTTACCAGTTAGCATGTGAAAGGGATGTGCTTAGACTAATGCTTAACTCACTAGGTAAAAGAGAGGTTATCTGCAAGATGTGCATATTCCCTGTTTGCTGGGCTTGCTGGATCAGCACACACTGCCACAATCTCCAAGCAACAACGTGTTCAGAACATGCTGGGCTGCTCAGGAACCAGTGGGTTGAAAAATTCTCACTGCATTTGAGGTGGCCCCTTTCTGTGTGCTCTTTCCCAGCAGCTACCTTTCATGGTTTGCTGTGTGGATATAGGAGAACTTGCAGAGTTTGCTGCATGTGTGATCAAAGGAACTCTTGCATTCCTGAAGGCACACCATTCCTCCAGCTGTATTAATTAGTCCAGAAAAAGATACAACTCTTCCTCATATGGAGAAAATCCCTTACCTCTTTGAGGTAAGAGCAGAATGCCCATAGTGCCCATAGCATCCTGACTCAAATTTATGTCTTTGCAAGTTCCTATTGTATCAACAGAAGTGGCACACTTTGTATGTGTGCTCTGTTTTTCTTAGCTAGATGGCACAGGCTATAAACACTTCAAGGGACAAACCAGGGTTCAGTGCTGAGTTTTGTCCTCTTATGAGAAGGCAGGTCTAGCCCTTTAACCAGGGAGATCTGAGAGGTCCATGGGTCCCTGACTCTTCCCAGAAAGGTTTCTGCAGAACTTCCTAGTGTGTGCTGTGTGGAAAAAAAGACAGTTGTAAGTGGGTAACTGTGAGACATGCACAGCTATTAAGGCATTTTTTTATCCTGTGTGGAACACATCTGGGTCTCTTCAGAGAGTTTCCATGACTGACTCAGGCCAGCACTGAGCCTTCTGGCTGCAAGGTGTTGCAAGTATTGCAGAAGACTGCAGTTCCTTGATAAGTTGTGCCTGTGTGGCCTACATGGAGTACTTACACTGATATTAAAAATTTTATTTGCTGAATTATTTTGCAAAGCCACCTGCAAAAACATGACACTGACACAGAAAGAATGACGCTGAATGCCATTTTTTAAACAGTGCTGCAGAGATTGTATTCCAGCCAGCCCGTGTCAGCATTCCACAGGTCAGCACAAAATATCCATGTTGGTTTTGGACTGACTACATACCATGGAACTAAACCCTGCACTGGCTTGTAATATATACAGTACTAAAAGATGGAGAGATTGAATAGGTGTGGCTGGGACAAAATATCTTGGCTCTTGGAAACTGCCACAACTGTATTTAAAGCAACTGCATGCAAAAGGGGGTTAAGAAATGTGGTTCAAATTCTCCTTGTCAGGAACAAATTAAATCAGCATGGTAGAGCATCCAAAGAGAAATATATTTGGAAATGCTTATATGCTGAAGCTGGGAATCTGGGTAACAAGAGCAACTAGAATTTATCAGTTATCAAGATAAATTCAAGTGCTAGAGGGATCAATATGCTAGAATATTGTATGAGTTGTTTAAGCAGACCAAGGATGACAAAAGAAATTGTGTGAGGGGAATGACTTTTTCTATGACCTGGTGACATATATCTGCCTAACTTAGAACTGGGAGGTGCAGGATCTTAGGAAATGCAGTGCAGTAAGTATGCTGATTATCAAGGCTCAGCAGTGAGCAGAGGTGGGAAGAGGTGACATTACAAGTCACTGAAATGAATCTGAAGACAGCTTGAACTACTCTTGCATGTGAAGAGGCAGCTGTGTAATTATGGGGAAATTTATTTGGCACACTTACTCAAGATTTCATTTAGGTACTGGTAAAATGTCAATTGAGTAATTTTAAATACTGGAGGATAGTTCTGCAAAACAAAAGTTGTTAGACCTACAGTGGAAGAATTCTGATTTTAGGTAGCCTGATAGATAAAAGTGAATTTATCCACTAGACTGGCAATCAGGTGTTGTGTCAGGAAAAACTGATCATGACCTGGTTACATTTAATATGCTTGAATAGAACATAGTCCCAAACCATAATATTCACACATGCTAGTTTGAAAAAGTCAATTTCTTAAAGCTAAGGACAGCCCTTAATAGTGCTGAATAAGCAGAGGCATGAACAAAATTGAAAGTTTTTCAAGAGCTTACTAAATTGGGCAAAACATTAAGACAACATGTGTGGCAAAGAAGACAGAAAGTAGAAATGGACTTACTCATCTGTATACATGTGTTTAAAGAGGTATAAATTTGTCCACACTTATCTATATATGGGATTTCATAGGCATACATATCTATAGACACCTGTGTGGGCATGCAAACACACAGTACTTACATATTTAAATAAACTGTGTGGCAGTGTATTGGAAAAAATAGGCTATAAAAGGGAGATAAGTATTGATATTTATAAGTTATTAAGTATGGGAATTACAAGTAACACCTAACCCAAAATCTAATCCTGGCATGCAAATGATGTTCTGAAAGAATTTTAAATTTACATAAGGAAAAAAGTAGCAATTATGTGGGCCAAACAAGGGTTGTAGGTACTGAAACTGTTAATTAGAAATTTATAGATGGCTCAGATGTTCAGAAAAGATTTCTGGTTTATGTTTTGTACATGGTTTGTATATATCACATGAGGAGGATGAATTCTTTTCCAGCCCATCTTCAACTAAAAGAATGTTAGACAACTCCTACTTTCAGGAATCAACTTTAAGGCAGTAGCCCCTGTATTGCCAGCAGCTATACATCCTATTTTTTTTCCTTAAGTTGGCTGAGAAATTTTCTGGTCCACTGATAAGAGCTTTTGATAAATTTGGGAACATTGGAGCAATCTGCCAAGACTGAAAGCATGCTCATTTTTTTTGCCAGTGCCCCAACAACACAAACAGGATAATTCTGATAACAGCATGGCAGTCAGCCTGACCTCACTTCCAGCAAAATAATAGAGAAGCTGATATGGGAATTCAAGTATAAAGAACAGGACTATTGTTAATGGCAGCCAGTGATGTTTTCATTGAATTCAGGTCTTGTCAGGTAAGCTTGGCTTGCTTCTTTAATGTAAGATTACCCAGTCATTTAAAAATGTTACTATGGGCCTAATAGAAACTGAAAGTCTTCAGTTCGATATCCTACAATAATTTGAACAAAAATGTAGCATTTTGCATTCTTTGCATATGGTCAAGTGTAAAATTATACCTGAAAACTGGGAACATATACCATATGAGGGAGACAGCTTCAGAAAAAAAGGAGACTTTGGAAAGACGTTGGAGATCTTAATGGACAACCTTAGAATGTGGTCATAGCTCAATGGGCGGGCAAAATATCTGGTGTGACCCTCGAGTACATGTGCAAAGGTCTGATTTTGTCTGTGTTTATTATATATATGCATATGGAGAGACTCAAAGAGTAACATCAATCACATCACATCACAGGCAGCATTCTAAAAGATGATTTTAAATTGGATGAGAATGCAAGGAATAGCAAAAATCTTACATGAGGGCTAGATAATATACCTGTTATATTGGTAGGTCTCTACCACAGGCTTTTTGTTCCACATGAAAAATAGATGAGGATGTTAGTACAAATATAACACACACAGAGGTACAAGATACAGACACCAGCTCTTCCATCTTCCCAGGAAACACAGAACATGAATTGATGACAATAATCTGAGGTAATGTCATTAAATTAGCAATAAATTATCCACATATTTTTATATGTATGCACAATTAATTCCCAGGATAAGATACCAAAGAGACCAGTGGACTCTTCACCTTTTGGATCTTCAGACCTGAGTGGAATGCTTTTCTGGAAAGATTCCTTATATTCAGAGGGTTCCACAAAGGGACAGAGCAGGGGATGTGCAGCTTGTGACAGGCAAGGAGTCAGACAAGACGACCTCCATCCACCAACATATATTGAATTCTTCAGATCAAAATCTGGATGTAAAAGTTAATTCAAGAGTGGACTGAGAACACTATGTATTTGTACATGTTTTAAGTACAGAAATTTCACTCCACTTTAAAACATTTCCTTTACCACATCTAACAAAGTATGGGAAATTAGTGAGAAGCTCTTTATGCCAGAGACTGCTCTGGTAATTAGGAGCAAATCACTTAATTTCTGTGCCTTGATTTGCCCACTTCTAGAGAATGAATCCTAGCTTTCCTCAGTTCCTCTCTTCATGCTGGAGTGACCTCTGAGAGGAACTGCACAAACATATTCTTCCAAAAAGACACAAATAATCTGAAAACTTGGGTAAGGCACAGGACTGATGTTTCAAATAGGTCAGAGAGCTTTCACCCTGCAGAAGGTGCTCATGTTACCTTGGTCAGCAATCCATCTGTACTGTGAACCTTGACGAGATAAATATAATTGTTAGTTATGTAACAAGCTTGCTTTGCAATTTAACTAATGAATGTGTTGAGAGACCAGATTAATCTTTTAACTTCAAGAATTTCTCCCAATGGAAAACACATAGTGCCTGCCTATCTGTAATGTTATCCTCTCCCTACAGCCAGAGTGATTTGGTCACTTGAATGTTTGTTTTACTTGTGTAAAGTTCATGTGTTCACAGATTTTTTTTTTCTGGAGGAGGTGGAAGGACCCCAAGATTCACTTGAGGTTTTACATCAAGGCCATTCCTGAGGGATGCCATTACAGGCTCTTTGGTGGGATGATTTTTTTTGCTGGTATGGTACAAGTTGCTGTTTTGGAATTTTTCTCAGTAGAGCCATATTTAGTCCTGTGCTCTCTTTGTCTCTGAAAGCGGTCCATTTCAGAAAAATAGTAGTCTGGTACTATTGTTGGTTCATTAATTGAGGACAAGAGATTATTTTAATTTTGGGATTTTATTTTCCTTATTATACATTCACTTTCCTTCACAGGAGTCATCTAGAAAATGTAAAAATACTGTGTACAGAAGATCCAGTAAATGCTTATGACAAATGAAACATGATTTCCCAGGGTAACATATACTTTGTAAGAGCTTTGCCAACTGTAAATTATACCAAGTGGGTCGATTTTGGAAGTCAACATCTTATTTAAACTTTCATACTGAACAGAATTGCTATTTAATATTGGTGATTAATGACTGCAGACTCCAGCCTAATTTCCAAGCAGAATGCCAGTGGCACTCAGTAATCAGCAGAGTCCACAGTACAAGTGCTTGGCAATCTTGCGGTCCAGTTCAAGTTGCTCATTTTCCACGAAGAGGAAACAAGAGAGGGAACTGATATGAAAATGAAAATACACCTGCTTATTCCTCTAGTAGAGTTTGTTCCTATTTTTCAGTATGCCTCTACAAGCTGAGGTGCAATCCTGTGGGAGAAAACTGAATGTTCATGCCAGATGTACATGTGGCCTACCATTTGGAGGTCAGCAGAGACAGTTTCATCTGGGGGACTCCAAATTCCTCTTGTCTCATCTGTCCCCACTACTCCAAGTTGTGACCCACAGCTCTTTATCCTCCTTTCTTGGCATCATTCTTACTCACTGTTCCTCCACTGAGTCAAAGGGCCAGACAGATCTATCTGTCCCCTTTGTCCTGGTCCCCACCCCACGGTCCATCTGTGGGGATCAGGGACAGGGGTGTATTTTACCATTGTGGGTACATCATAGAAATCCACAAGGAATCTCTAGTGCTGTTGAGTACTTGAAAGAGACAGTATGGCTGAGCCTGAGCTCTGTGGACAGGAATGTAACATGAGCTGGAGAAAGCTCTTCTATTTCCTTTTTTGTAAGCAGTGTGCTGCCTGGCCTGGACCAGGCACTGGGAGAGAGTGACCACACTGGGAGCGAGTGACAGGCAAAGAGCTGACCTGACCTCTGCCTCTTCTGCTCTGGTTTCACAGGGCTTCACAGGAGGATGCACAAGCCTCTGCATTTACAGAACACAGTGATCTTTCCAACCCAACACAGATGGCATCCATTACAATATTATCAACTAACATTGATTACTACAGTTTCCCCTAATATGACATGACTAATCTTTTAACTTAGCTTGCACAATGTGTACTGCCAATGCTTTCAATGTATGCTGAAATCATTTAGTTGAAGTAAATAAATGAGTAAGTCTAATACAATAGAGTTTATGGCATGTTGTCCTCCTGGAAATAATTTCAGCGGTAGTGAAATAGAATATCTGCAACTTGAAATGTCTGTCCTTATACCTGCATTTGCATAGCTTGAGATGTACAATGTACATGTACAAATTTATTTTAAAATTAAACAGCTAAATAAGTAGGAGTTTTTGCCTCCAGTCTATACCAGGAAATTAGAAGTTTATCAAACAGGTGTCAATGCACCAGTCAGATCTATGATACCTTGCTGTCACTTTAGTGCAAATTCAGGAATTGCAGTAGAAAAATGCTCTCGTATTTTTTGTGATGTTGGTGAAGAAAATCTGCTGCAGGAGAAGAAGAGAACTGATAAATAATACAGTACACAGCCTGTAGTTTAAAGAAGGTTCTTCTATGTTCCTTCCCAGCAGATGAAAGACAGGTTTAGCTAGGATCTTCCATCAACAGGTACCAAAGAGCTCACCAGCAATTTGGTTCAGAGCCAATATAAATAACTCACCTTCTAGGAAAATAATTTGCCTGGTATGTATAAAGAAGTATAAATGCCATTCCAGAGTAAAGAATTTGGACAGGAATGAGTGCCCAAAAGGGGTGTTTGTGTGAGCAGGAGAGCAGAGAGCCTTCTGTCTGAGCAGAGACTTACAGAGTTGGAGTGGAATGGAAAACAGGAAAGCATATCATGAGATAGGAAAGGCAATTTAAGCAATTCAGTAACATTAGCGTGAGAACAAATGAGTTTGAGCTGGCCCTTAGTCTGGAAACTTAGAAAAGCCTCCCCGCAGTGGGAGGGAGGGCAAACTTGGCTAGGTGCTAGGATGGAAATTAAGTCTGTAGCTGAATGTCTGATGTGGTCACCTGTGACAAAAGGGCTCTGGGCTTCCTAATCTAGGGTGAGCAGCCTCAGAGAGACCTCCCATGCGAGGAAGGATTTAAACACAGGCTTTGCTCTGTGGGCATGTATTTGCTAATGTTTAAGCTTCTGTAGCTTAAGCATGTTTTTTAAAGTACATTTCATATGCACAGTTCAATTTTGCAGACGACTGACGCATGAGGTTTGTATATCTGGCCTTGTGACTGCCATGGACATCTGGTCCCATGAAGGCTGTGTCTCTCCGTACTGCACCCATTCTGGGGGAAGAGCAGCAGCTACACAGTGCCCCAGATCCAGCACAGCACTGCCTGGGTTTTGGACAACTGTACACGGAGCACTGGCAGGCTGACTTGGCAGGAACCCATCCCAGGTTTTCCTGAGCAACTTGGAGCTGAGGTGCTATGCTGTCAGGGCAGAAAAGGCAAATACTACTGCAAAGAATCATCCATCCAGCTAAGGGTATCACTGTCACATTTATGGTAGGTCTTGACATGTCCCTTGATTTCTTAAAATAAATATTTAACAAGGGATTTTATAGTCACAAGTAGCAAGCACGCTTTTAAAATGTTTGAAGGGAAAAAAACTTGTGTAAGAATGAATTGGAGGCCAAGACCTGGTAGCCATAGATGTTTATATCAAAGGCTGGAGATTTCCTCCTGTCTGTTTTCAGCGTATACTGCAGTTCCTTGATTCAAGGCGATCTCCAAAGCTGCCTTGCTTCCTGGATAACACTTCCTTCCTTAGGAGCAAATGCTTAAGATGGCTGAAGTCATTGCATTTATTAGTGATTCACGTCATTGAAAGATGAGGGTTTCTTTTCCTCTATTGAAAGCTTTTTTGGAAAAAAAGATTCTTTTTTTTTTTGCTGCTGCTGCTGTTTTTGCTATTAACATTCACTCTCAGCTGTTGCATCACATTGCAGCAGTATGACACCTTATCTAAAGCGCAACATTTTATCCCCTTCTTGGGTGCTTTTTAAACTGAAAATTACTGGGTAAGAGGGTTTTATGCAGTCTTAATTTTGCAATGTTCAGAGAATTAACAGAGCTTGTATTTTCAGACAGCTGATGCAGGAGTTTACAAATTGCTCTTATGTGGTTCAAGTGCTTACCACCAAGTATACAGGAACAAGGTGAAGATTCAGATGCCAAACTATTGATTCTAGGTTAGAACTTGTGGACCCTGTCTTCCTTTTCAAAGGGGAATGCCAACATGAATCTTCTGCCTTGAAGCAATTTTTAGGATGGTCCACTTGCATTTGTTAAATTTGAGCTATGTTGATCGTCAGGTTAAAAGAAGAAAAGAAATGCAAGGAAGAACCTGACTGAAAATGAACTTTGGTATATGCCGGAAAGAAAAGTAAAAGCTTCAAATTACACTATTGTATGAGCAGCCTGCACACGCTTATCTGCCTGCGGGAGACATGACCGGGAGGGTGTGGTCTTTTAAACCTTAAATTGCTCAGGTTTATGCAATTCAGCTTTTCTGTACCTTCTGTCATGCCACAGGCTTCGCCATCTGACACGGGCACCGGCCGCGGTCTGCCTGCAGCTGAGGGGAGAGTGCAGGCCCTGCCCGGCCCGGGCCTGGAGCTTGTACACCCGCACGACTCTGCCAGCAGCGTGTGAGAGACACGGCGAAGCCACACGTGTGAGTTTGAAGGACTTGTATCTTTCTTTGTGCTGCTCCTATTTTTCCCCTTGAGCTTGGTGTGAGTTGTTCCAGAGGAGCAAAGGTGGAAAGAATGCTCTGGTGAGCAAACCAGCGTTGTTTAGTAGCAGGGGAGTGGGCCCAAACCTCAGCCTGCACACTCTAGAGTGCCATGCAGCCAGGCAGTGATAAATACACTGTGTCTGTCATTAGTGATTCAGCTTCCCCATAACCTACTGCAGAGATTGTTTTCATAATCTAACAGAAAAGGCTATATAACATACCTGTAGGTTGCTGTGCTTCTTGGTAGGCAGTGTTAAAATAATACATATATACACGCTGGTATGGAAAAAACTCTGCTTAGTTCATAACCTTTTTGTTAGCTAGATGTGCTTAGGTTTGTCTTTCTGTTGCTAAGAGGTCTATTTCTTTAGTAAAGCGTGTTGAAATCCAAACAATTATTTGTGGAGAGGTGCCATTTGTACTGCAGCTGCTTTAGCCCATTGCTTTATTAATCCTCTGGAAACCCATTTCTTCCCCTCCCCCAGGTTTAAACCCACAAAGTCTCACTGCAGCTGCAGGAGGCAAATTGAGGCTACATTCACCACTGCTGTATCTTCCTGCTTGATTTTATGCATATAACTTCATCTGAGATGAGGAAAGAAAGAGAACTTGATTTCATTTTTATCTTCATGTTCTTCACACTTAACACTCAGTTCTTTACTCAAAACATCTTTTAATTCAGTACAGGTATATGCAGCAGTTGCAAATCTGTGAATATATATGAATAGGCATAACTTCTTATAAGTTTTATTTTTTATAAGACTGATTTTCCTGTGAGAAGGTGTTTATTCACAGTGCCAACACACAACCTGGAACAGCAATGAGCATACGTGGACACCTTCACTCAGCAAAATGCATACTTAGAGTACTCAGTAGACACAAGGTCCCAGTACATAAATCAAAAGGACCTGTTCATGTGTTTAAACTTCTTAAAGTTTTGGGCTGTTTTTAATGAGCAGGGATGGATTGCTTGCATCAAGCTCTCAGCCACTTTTACTTCTGCCAAGGAAAAACACAATAACCAGAAAGATGCATGTTAAACTTGCATGTCATGTTTTTCTATGATGCCTGATAGCTAGGAAAGGGTTCCTTCAACAGCAGGAAAAGCAAGATAACCTTAGGTGCTGGGCACCTTAGTACTGGGCACTGTGCAAGGCACTTGTTTTCCCACAGTCTTTTGTACAAATGGAGCTCCCACTGCCCAAAACACTTTCCATTTGCTCATTCAGGCTCATGCAGAACAACATAAAGGCAGTTTCAACATTCCATTGAAACAAGAGTGTCTCTTATCTGCTGCTGTTGGAAAAGCACAAATGCTGATCTGCGAATAAAAGCCAGGAATCATTGTCAGGAATTTGGAAAGCTGCTGATGTTGTATCCTCAGTACTCCCATCTACTTTCCTAAAATTGAAAATTCCTCTTAAGGAAGTGATCTGTTACTAATTTGCTATTTTATTCTTCCACCCCAAACCTCAGAGGCTATGTGTCTTTTCCAAAGATATAAATTGAATCAATCTGGGAAAACTTGTCTCATCGTTGTCTTATCCTGGCCCCCCTGAAAATACTCTCCCATTGCTAATTTCTTTTACTTGTTTGTGATCCTGTAGAAGTGTCCTCCCCTTTGCTCACATGAGTTCTGCTTTCGTAAGGGTATTGCAAGCCCATGTGTTTGAACATTAACTGCATCAGGACTTTGTCGTAGCATAGAGTTAGAAAGAGGAATGTTCCTGGCTCCGAGTTGTGATCATCTACTAGAAAAGAAAATTGAATTGTCTTTTGGAAGAAGTTTGAAGGTGCTGGCATCTTCCCCTAGCATAGCTTCTCTTTAGTAAAATGGAAATAAATTTTGCACACAGGATGAGATGATAGATTAGCTCCATTTCACTGCAAACCAGGAAATCAGGCAACATTGTTTCCAGAAGGAAAGTAAATTAATACAGGCTTTCAAATGTAGAGAGTCTCCTCAATGCTGGCTGCTGGAGGGAAGCAGTCCAGTATTTCTGGAGATGTCAGCCCCATCTGCAGGGCTGGCTGCTGCCACCTGGCTCTTCTCACTGTTGAGGCAGATGGAGGCCTGGGGTTGATGTGGAGGGACTCTGTGGCCAGAGCCTTTTGAGGAGGTAATGACACCCCAGCCTTGTAAAATGGCTGGACACTGGTGTCCTGCAATGCTGCCCAACTTAGCACTTGTTTGCAGTGCATGTCCAGTTCTGTCACAGAAATTAGAAGCTGGGATAGAAAAATATGCAGCTGATCTTTCCAAGGCTTTCCCTAAAGGCTCAACCTGAATCTGCAAAAGCAATCATTACCTGAATCATGGGATTCAAGAGGATTCAGCATAGAAGACAAACTGTCACCTTCAATACCTGTTCAGGGGATGGTTAGTTGGCAGTCAGTGCTTTACTACAAGATAAACTTCTACCTGTCTGTCTACTTATGGTAACCCTCTCATTTGACCCTCCAATTTATCTTTAATACACCCACAACATTTTTACTGAAACTAAAAGTCTCAATAAAATAAATGGGTTTCATCTGCAAGTAATTTCTTATTAATGAATGCTTCCTATTTCTCTGTCTGGATTGGTAAATCTTTCAGAAAATAGCTTGTTTGAAAGCAGATAAATTTTGATTGATTTTGGATATATATCCTGTTTACTTTTTGCTTGTCTTTACCCTAGCTTTTTGTTTTCCATGCTTACAGCTATGTGGTATAGATTGTGTTGAAATGCTGATGTTAAAAAAGTATAGGTGATGCTATTATATTATTTTCTACTACAAAGCTGATTTTGGACTATATATTTAACAGTATCAGTTCTTACAGGATTTTACAAGTAGAACCCAATGCTGGAAAGTATGGTTTTGGGTTCTCATAGTTTCAGTCTGAGAACTCATCTAATCACACTACTGCTATTTAAAAGAATGTCTCCATTTAGATCCAGACAAAAAGTGTCTGAGGCACTAAAGGAGGAACTTCAAAGAATTTAAAAATCCCCTTGCCTGCCTGCACACAGCAGATGACATCTGATTGTGAGAAAGGATGCAGGAAGCAGGACAGTTTGAGCATGTAATTCCTAATTGGTTTCTCATCACAGGACTAAATAGCACACAATTGGTCTTCACACCCACAGAACCGGTTCTGGAGGCAGATATTAATTCAGCCACAGACATAACTATCTTTCTCAGGCTGGTGTCACTCGTGTGTCCTGGCTGACAAAACCTTAGTAAGCCTCTTGTTGTTAAGGGGACTATTACAAGGCCATCAGCAACACATGCATGTTAATTAGCAGTGGGATTTGGGGGAGTTCCCATGAAGCCCCAATTAAAGCAGTGATGAATAAAGTCCAGTGAGTAGTACCATACTCAGGGATGTTGTTTCCCAGCATTGAGCAGATGAAGGCAGAACCAAGCTCTACAGGATGTGTTTTGGTGGCTGAGGGCTTGGTCACTATAATAAACAAAATTTACTTGCTGAGACTTTTGTTGGGCAGGGAGCTTAGTCATTATCCTGCTAGAAAAAATAAAAAAGGTGCCCTGGAACAGAAACTACTGCACAGCCTCATCTAGAGAGATTTTCTTCCTCTCCTGCCTGAACACTTTAGGTTTACCCAGTCCTTTCCATTTTAAACAGAGTGATAAGCTCTACTGCACACTTCACTCCAAAATGAGCAATAGGGACTATCAGCAGATATAAATGGGCACTGTCAGCACTATTTCATAAGAGAGGTGTGTTCAAGAGCCAAAATGCAACTTATGTTAGCCCCAGAAAATTGATAGTCAGACCACAGTAACTGGACTGCAGGGTTCAGCCTCTTCAGTGTCCATGTATCTCCCTCTTTCCAAGAGTACATTTTTCTTAAATGTGAAACTCAGTACTCAGCATTGCAAAAAATTTGTAAGGTCATCAAAATCTCTTCCCCTTGCCCACTGAAATTTCTTGTTTATGGCTGCATATTGTGTGTTTGCCATTTTTTTGGAGGCTGCTCCTAGGCTGTACCACTCCCTTAAGTTGTTGAATTTTACCTGCTGGACTGACCCCAGCAGCTGTGACCCTGGGACTGAATGGCAATGAATTTCAGATTGTGCTGTTCTAAACAGTAGAGTGTCACTGTACTGTTTCTTCAACAGGGACTGTTTTCTCTGCTTAAGATTTGTTTATTCGGTCATTTTTGTGGACCCAAGTAGCAGGAAGAGGAATGAGTTAGATACAAGTATTATTTAAGTTATAGACATTTATAGACCTATAATTTTAATTGTATATAATATATAATATTTAATAACAATTTGCATTATTTTATTATATATAATATAATAATTACATCTAAATCATAGTACGGGAGTTGGGTGCAACATAAATAAACTTGAGATACAGATGATTAAATCCTTGCTCCACTGAATTTGCTTAATTTTTCCTTTGAGTGCAGTGGGCCAGAAATTTTAACCCAAGCCTATACTTCTATTGTTTAGACAAGTTACTCTCAGGAGCCAAGTGCTGCAAGTCGCTGCTGTCCCCCCAAAGGTGCATGTCCATAAAGCGGAGGATGCAATCCTAGAAGTCAGGAGTTTCCCTCAGATCAGATCTAAGAGCATCTCTGTGGTCACCTTGTTGCACAAGGACTCCTGTGGCAGAATTTGGGCACTGGCCCCACTGGCATGGGAGCAGCCAGCTGCCCCTTCCCCTGCTCACCTAACCATGTGGGTTGCTTCTGAAAAAAGGTCCCCACAGGGTGTTGTGAGAACTCATTAAGTAGTTTGCCAAGTATGAAGAAACTCCTGGATCAGAGAAGCAGTTGTAAAGGCACGGTGTAATTAAAACACAGTTTACTTTATTATGTATTATTAGCAGGGTTATCCATCACATGTTCCGCACTTTGTAGATATGAAATGTTATCTCGTGGTCACATGTGAGAAGATGCTGTGTGGTCTGAGGGTGGCAGGTA